ATCATTTTTCTATTTTGAAAGTCGATGTAGAGACGAAGAACCATGACGGAACAAAGTCAGCCAATGGTACATTAAAAAAAAAAATCAGCATTTAACAACCCCATAAATTAGCCAATTTGGTGCCAGGCTTGGTCAATCTAATATTTTATTTTTCTACCATGTCATATAGAACCAGTTCTGAGCCATAAAAGTTTTCCAACCTAGCAATGCATAAAAAGACACATGACCTAAATATTTGTACTACTAAAAATTTAAACCAATTGATGTGACATCCTGAAATTTTAATTCTAAAAAAATCCACAAACTATCTATTTTCACCAAATATAAAACCAGCATATTCAAGGATGCAAGCATCGCATGTATGCATGTAAATACCACCTTTTATTAATTTTTAAAAAGTAAACCCAGTACTTACAACAGAAAATGGTGGAAATGGTCATGTTAAATGTAAATACAACTATTAGTCAACAGCAGAGGACTAAAATGTGTTCATTATTTTTTCGTACTACTTGTTTAGTTGTAAAATACAGAGAAAAGCAAAATACAGATCGTATGACAATTGTGAGCTCATGATCCGAGTAATAAAAAAGGTAGTGCGGATCTCATTAAATGTTTATTTATTTGAAAAGAAGCAAACATCGTTAGCTCTTTTATACAAATCAGAAGAGCATCATTTCCCACAAAAACATACAAGTTATTTCCCCAAAGAACGTGCTTTCTCGACAAATATGCATATGCTGTTATTGTGCTTCTAGGTAACACCACTAACGGATTTAGGCCTAACTAACTGCAAATAAGAAAACCTTATATTGACTAGATAACTGAACGTCACAAAATGGATTAGGCATGTAGATGAAGTAGACCACACAATGAGAAGCTCGAACCATTACAAGCCAAAGAATCAGTTTAATGCCCTTATCCAGACCACCCAATCAACTATAATCCCATCATACTCTGAAAACAGAAAGAGAGATCCATTTCATAAGAAGATCCGATTAGCAAGATATTAAACCCAGTTAACTTCCATTGATATTTCCATTTTTGTAATTTTCAACTATCCGTGACAACAGAAAATTTGCAAACAATTACAATCAAACATGTAAGCAAATTCTAAAATATATATTCACACAGAAAAAAAAAAGGTAAATTCATCCAAGTATTCTCCCAATTGACTTTATGCTTTCCTCAGTGATCTAAAATTTAGAAGTGATAATAGAAGACAAAGGATAAAAAAATTTTCTGACAACTTTAACGAAATTATATGCTGATAACGTAATGAAAGAAAAAGGAACTGCTGCCTACACAGAAGGAGAAGTAAAAAGAACTAGCGCTAAGGTTGAAGAGAAAGTGGCAAAGACTTACATGCATGGAGGTGGACCTTCACCTTCTGGTTCCAGTTTTCGCCATTCATATGGCTTGGCAGCAGTGTCCAATGCCCATACATCAGCTAAAGCACGTTTTCCTAGAGATCATGCACAAAATTATTGCTCTCTGAATTTAGAAAACAATACAAGGGAAGATATGGAGCATGATACTGACCATCATTTCCACCAATTGTCATGAGATACCTTTGACCCACCAAAGCCATGACGTGCCCATAGCGTGGCCCTGGTCCAGGACCTTGGACAGCAACCCTAAAAGAAGACATTAATAAAGATGTGCATGCATTTATTAATGCAAGATGCACATTTCATGTATTTATTAATGCATAAGCGTGCATTTCATGCATTTGTCTCCAAACTATGCATATGCGTGCTATTCCAAAGAGGCTGACCTGTGCCATCTCGGCCTTTGCTGTGTGAGGTCCAGAACATGAAGATCTTCTGCGGACAAACCGGCCGGACCAATCCCACCCTGTGAATGACAAAAGCATAGAAATATCATAAAAAAAATTATTAGAAAAAAAAAATACAACTGGAAATTCTCAATATCAATCCAACTGTCAACAAACCTGAATAACAACCATAGTACCCACAGCAGTTGCCACGTGAGCAGCCCTTGGTGTAGGTGGCTCTCCAATTGGGGTAAGTCTGAATATTAAATTAAAGCATAGAACCTTATTACAACAAATTCAAAAAACTAAGATACGTAACCACTATACCAGAAAATAGATTACGAGTTCTAATGAGATAAGTTATCAACTTAACTCACCGAGACCATTTATTTGTTAATACATCATAAGCATGCACATCTGCAGTAGCCCCAGCCAGCCCTGCAATTAAATACATTCTCAAACATTGTAGATATATAATGAGTTAAAGTTCAATTTCAACTATTAACTTAAAAACAGTTGGGCACTATTCTTACTCGCTTTTCAATAAGTTAAATGAGCATTCCCTAAAATTACAATCCACCAAAAGATATGCTTCACTCAATTAAAGAAATCTAATCATCATTCCTCTACAAGAGTCTCTTTCTACTGTATTTCCAAGTAATGACTTAAACTCCAACTTTACTGCATAATAACTTTGCATGCACACTACAAAAGAAAGCAAAGTGAGAGTAACCCAATATCCAAGAATTCCAAGCAAAAGCATCCAAATTTAGGCACTTCACTTATTCCAATTTCAACTGTAAGATACCAAAAATGTTATTTCAATTAACTCTACATAACTAAATTGCGAATTTAATTAATAAATCATTTTCCTACATTACAATTAGAATTAACTAAACCAAAAATCTCAAAAAGAAAATTGAGAGGATTTCAAAAATTGAAAGAAACGTACGAATCCCAGCACTTCCAGCCGAGGAAGGAGTTCCCGAGGCCCCCGAATTCCCTTCAAGGGCCGTGGCCCCACCAAAAAGAATCAATCTCGGCCCAATATATCCAGGACTACCCTCCTCCCCAACTGCCTGGACGGCAGTCAACGTGTGGCCACACCTCGGCCCCGGCCCATCCTCCTTCTGCTCAATTATCGCATTCAACAAGCTGTAAGTGGGCGCGCACCGCGGCCCTACCACCACCGCTCCACCACTATTACTATTATCACTGTTATTATTGCTCTGCTGAACAGACGGAGATTGGGATTCGGCAGGCTGGTCAGGGCCGTTGGCTGTATTAGTCTGGGGCGATGGATGGTGATCGGGCTCACCACTCATAGCCGAATCCACTTCCATCACTAACTTAAAACCCTAATTCTTAACCTCTACAAAGTAAGATCAAAGCTCGAATTCTCAACGATTCGTCATTTTCCAAAAGCCCTAGCTTCGATCCTTCAATCTCTGTACAAAATGAACAGGAACACCAAATTGACAGCCAATCAGAACACGCAATTTCTCTTACTAAAGCACTTTGATCTCTCTCTCTCTATAGATTCAAATGAACTATGATCTCTCTCTTCTCCCTCTACAGAAAGAAAGGTATAGAGAGAAATAATTTAATTTTTTTTATTTTTTATTTTATTTTCTGTGTTCATGATACGGTTTTAGTGTGTGTACGGCTGAAGAGACTCCGACAAGTACCGTAGACAAAAACTCAAAAGACGGCGGCATAACGAAACTTTAGTAGTGGCAAATCAGTAAATTAAACAAAGGTATAACTTTTAAAGAATGGTGTACAACATTGAAAGCTTGTATGGTTCAGTCTTATAGCTTGTTTGGGAAGAATTTTAATCCAATTAAAATTGAAAATATAATCGTTATTGGGTCTCACTCGTCTAATAAAAGTCAACACTAAAGACTAATTTTTTAATTTTAATCCGATTTTAACCTCTACCAAACAAGCTTTAACTCAGTTCGACGTAAAAAAATTCATAAACAATGTCAAATCTTTCTGAAAAATGACAAAAGAAAACACATTTTACTTTAAATCTTGTTATTAAAGTACAACTGTTAAATTTTTTATGCAAACCGCGATGTTTCAAATTACTAAAATATCTCGAATCTTTCGAAATCACAAAGTAAAAACGTTCTAGCCTTTTTCAAAATTTTAAAATTTAATGTTCTGATATCTTCTATTTTGTCAAAAATCATGAATCGATCAACAGTCGTTTTCTGAAAACCATTAATTCAGCGACCCATTAACCTGGCCATGTCAATAATCAATCCGGGTCTGACATGGTTAGACCATAATTCAGTGATTTTATCCAAGTAGAAAACCAATCTTGATCTGAAAACCATGCTTCGAAAATTCCGAGAAACCAAGTATATGTTTGTCCAAGTGACACAAGAAAAGTTTTGTCCATATCCTGTCCATGAATTTCTTGAATTTCTTTAGAACACATAATATGGCAAACATACCACGCCTCTAAATATAGAAGGCCCCAAATAAAGGCACCATGCACACACGCTCACATGGAGAGACAAGAAGCAAAGATAGAGGGAGACAAGTTATAACTTATATATAGGTGGGGCCACGATTCGATCTTTTACATGACAGGTCACAGCATCACGCGAGTTTAGCTGAACTGACACATTTTGACACCTATAAATATGAGATTATAATTATCGTGCAGTAAAAAACATGTACACAAATCACCTTATGACAGTATAGACAATAAAAAAAAATACAGAATATAGCTATCTACTTGTATACTATTAGAATCATTTCATCGAAAACATTAGGCAACAGTAGTAAAATAAATGACAGTCCCCACCCCTTTCGGCATTAACAGAACTGCTTTTCAGAACCGTCATAGGGATTACTGCGAGATTATGCCATCAGTTTACATAACCAAAAGGAACCCAACTAGGAGACATCAGACAGTAGCACGTACCATACATGAAAACCTTTGCCAGAAGAACGAGCCCCCTAAGCTTTCAGAGAGGGAGTGTTTACAGGCTTCCGGAAGACCTAACTGCTGGCATTCCATCACCTTCGTCGACTCTTACCCTCCATGAGTGGTCTTTCTTCCTCTGAGGCTTCTTATGTTGTTAACGAGAGGTGTTTGAAGATTTTTTTTTAACAGGTGTCTTAGTCGAAGCTAATCCGTTAGCCATGTCAAATGAATTTAAATCACTCAATACGTGCTCTAGACTGGGAGTGTCTTCGTGTTCATCGCTCAAATGGTCTTCGACATCAGATGAATCTGATCAGTGAATCTCCAATGGACCAGGTTTGGCAACATCTTCGGTGGCATCTTCATTGATAGGCATTTCAAAGTGCAGAAGCTTCCCATTGATATAATCCAAAATTTGGCGGGCAGCTCTAGTTTCATCCGGCAGTCCACTTGAGGCAACATATAAGTTCTCAAAAACTCTGCAGCCAAAGGAGGCCGTGATTGTGGTTCATACGGCTTGGGTTTTGGCAAAGAAATTTTGTAGACATTCTCGATAACATGCCTAGGTACTCGATTTGCCACAACCTGCATAGCCTCCGTGTTCAGTCATGCGATGAATGGGTAAAACCCCAGAAGCAATCATCTCGTACCTTGAACTCGTAAAGGATGGAAACACTAACCCAGGGCAATCACAAGGGGTAAGTTTGTCAGATACTATCAATGTTTGGAAATGCTTCGTCGTCCCAGGAGTTGAGAGGTTACACCTGTCCGTTTCTCTCCTACCAAAGCATTAATTGTTGAACTCTTCCCCACATTGGGTTACCCAACAAATCCAACAATTACGCTGCGAGATGGCGCATGTCCAGTGAGATTTCCGTCATTAGGATGACAGTGAGACAGGCCTGCCACATTGGAGCTTACACTGTTTCTCACAGAAACTATTTGCTCGGCTTCAGATTGCAAGAGAGCAAGTAGCTCTTCCCTGCCATATACTTTATTCTCGGAATCAACCAATTCTAGCTCACTTTTTTGCATACCTGTGGCGAAACTGAAAGTTTTCCTCTCCAGAGCTGCAGAAGCAGCCTTCGCTGACCAGAAAGCAAAGAGAATTCCATGTCCGCAGAAGTACTCAGCCCATTTGTTTCAGCAGAAATTTCTACCATTAAATTCTGATGATGTCTTATGGGAGAAATCAATAGGAAACAGCGGAGTGGCAGTGTTACCTAACAGAATCCGGTAGAAGGTCTGCCTTGTTAATGAGAAGCAATGTCTTTTTGTGTCCATCAACTTCTCTTGCATATGCCTGCATTTTGCTAAAATAATCTCTCTCCAGTATAACTTGCCATCAATTAAAGGATTTGGAACTAAAGACTGAGCATTAACATAATCGTGTTTATTGTGTCAAGGAACAATAGGAGCGCTTCTCTCTAATGTCGTTTTCAAAGATTCATATGAAGGCATTATTATTTATCAGTCGTAGAAATAAGTGTGCTTTCAGAAACACGTCAGGCTTGATCAGAGGATGAAACGAATTATATGGCTCAAAATTCCACATTTCGTTAGTGTAATCATTACATCCACAGAATCTTTTAAATAGTTCAAAAGAAGTCACTCAAAATCATTCTAGCTTAGAATCAAAATCTCAAGCATTTCCTCGAGATCAGGGCAACGGTAGAACAGACCCGCATCGACAACCATTACAAGCTGCCAGGAGAGAATAAAGAAGCATTCACATAAAAGTAAATAACACGATATGAAATGAAAATGCAACAGATGCATTCAGAACTGGAAAGAAAGAAATGGTAATGATGTTGAGCCATAATGACCAATTGGCTTTGGTAAGGACAAGAGCGGTATGGTTATTTGGAAAGCAATACTCTCAGCTATTTCTTCGGTTATGTGGGGAGAGAGAAACAATAGGATCTTTGAAGGACGAGAGCAAGAAGTTCTCAAGTTACAGGATAGATCTATTATGGGACAGAACTAAGTTTTAAGCGTTTTTATTGATTTCTTGTATAAGGAGTTCAAGTGTTTCCCTTCTCTTTACTTATCCTTGGCTTGAAAGCTATATAGTATTCTTGACTTTTATGTTATTTAGTTTCTTTTGATGTTAGAGGTTGATTCATCTTAACAATTGGAGTTACTATTACATAATTAATAAATTCAAGTTTCTTCTAAAAAACTTAACTTCCACCAAGCAGCAGCGGTAAAATCAAATCCCCTGAAAGTGAATTAAAAATCATTTCCTGGGCAAGTGTAATCTTAAAACACAGTTAGGCAGACAAGAAAATGTAATTGCCAGGTAATATAATAATATTAACATTCCAATCAAATTACCTGGCCAAACAACTAAATCTAGGATTCCAAAACATGGCAAATTTCTTTTACTTCCAAGCTTTTAATGACTGGAATCTTCTCAATCATCAATGTTCCAAATACTTGGGTACAGATTAGTTAATTAAAATTGGTTAGACTAAACAGCGAACGAGTATACGACAAGTTTATAATATGTTCAGTAGTCACATTAACACAATCATACTCTTCAAAGGATTCAATGTTAACTTCGAGATGGAGATATTATGATCTCACCAGATCACTGCGTTCAACTACCTCCAAAGCTGTCGCCATATATCTAGGTTCTTCTCGAATGGAGTGAGAACTAGCTTATCATTCTCCTCAAGCCTGCAGCAAAAATATACAATGAGAAGCGGTATATGCACATTAATCAATGGAAAGATGGAACAAGATTTCAAAATCAAGATTATTAGCAGCAAAGTGCATCAAGTACCAAAAGAAAACCTGCATTTCACCTAACACTTGTAAGCAGGCACCAAAAATAACAAAAACAATTGAATTTGTGTTGTCATGTGAGACAGCATGACCTTACAATGCCGCGGCACCACTCAAGAAAAGCACTTCATTTGCATCGAGTTCTTCTCCAGACATTTTAGTATTCCACCAGATATTGCAACTAGTCTCTGCATGAAAGTATATATATTTTTTATAACCGTGGATGTTCGGACCAGTTTACGCGCATCTCGACTAATCTCATGAGGCTCTGAAGTTTACGACGATGTACTTATCTCAGTAGCCCTAGACAGTATATCATTCAATACTTAAACGATAAATCTAGAAAATTCAAATAATTAATAATAAAGTTGGATGCCACCAGCTACTACATGAAACTATTAAAGAACCAAATTGTATACACACCTAAAAGTGTGAAAGAATTATAAAATTAAAATAATTAATAATAAAGTTGGATGCCACCAGCTACTACATGAAACTATTAAAGATCCAAATAGTAGACACACCTAAAAGTGTGAAAGAATGGGACATAA